GACAACATAGCGATAACCTACAGATGGTGCGGAAGCGTATCAGATTGCAATTCGCATTGATCAACTTGTCTGGACTCCGATCACGCATGCGTTTCGAAGGGCCGCCTAGGCGTACGCACTACCGACGGAGCGTGGAAAACCTACAAGACCCTACGACGTTGGCCAAATAGCAGGCCTCGTTGTCAACACTGCTTATCCAGCTTCTGATGGTGATCTGAATTCACAGTGGATGTGCATCAAAAATGCCATAGTTTCTGCCAGTATTGATAGTTGCGGAGTCACCCATCACCCGCCGAAAAGCTGAATCACTGCTGTCTCCTTGTCGCTGATGAACAAACGCCGCTCGGTCCCGGCCGATTCTAGCTGTAGTGAAGAACGACGATCCCTAGATCGAGAATTGCGCAGTAGTCTACAAAAAGATCATGAAACCTAGTGTTGTGAACGTGCTGGAGAGACGAAACTCGCTAGCTTTTCTGGTAATGCCAGAACATTTTCCCATCTTATCCGAGCCACCGAAGGTTTCCGATCTGGTGTAAACGAAACGATCTGCGAAGAGGATGGTCCATTAATCAACGACGGTTGTAACGTTAGGCTGAACACTTTGGCTCGCAGTTTTGCTGGCCACCAGCTCCATCTGCTTCCTCTGAAGTGTTCACTGGTGCGCAGTGGTCCGTCTCCACATATCCTCTCTATCACTAGCAAACCTGACAGGAACTCCGCCTCTTGCAGCGCCGGAAAGCACCGGGTCCTGATGGGTTACATCCCGCCCTATTTAAAGAAGACGACTCTTCGCTGGTTCGAGAACTTAGTGCATTGTTCTCAGACACCTGACTGAAACGGGAAGGTTCCATCATCCTAGAGTGAGTTGATAGTCGTCCCCATCTTCAGAAAAGGCCTGCGCACAATGCGCTCTAACTACAGGGGTATTAGCTTGGTTCCCGTCGTTTGTAACGTTCTGGTGTCCATCACACTTCGAAGGATATCTCCAACGCGCGAATCGCCACAGCGGAAAGAATAGGCTGGGCTGGGCGTGGCTGCATCGATCAAATCCTCACACGCCGTTAGATCCTCGAGCTCTGTCATGTGTAACAAACGCTAACGACTGTTGTGCTCCTGAATCTCCGCGCTGCCTTCGATTCTGTCGACAGGTGTGCATTGTGGCACTGTTCGTTGTGGAATGGCGTCCTCGGGAAGTTCGTTTCCGCACTACGCGCTATGTACAGTCTGACCTCGAGTATAGTTAAGGCTTTGGAAAGCTTTCGCCTTCCTTTGTTGTTGCCAGTGGACTTCGACAAAGATGCTCTATCTTCCCATTCCTCTTCAATGGTGTCACTGAGGATGTCCTCAAAAATACTCCAGAAGATTCGTTGAGCGCTGGCGTTGAGCTCCTCTAAGGTAACCGAGTAGCTGACATGGACTATGGTGATGATATCGCCATGTTGAGTGACGGTCCACAGACCATCTAAGTTGCACTTAACCGCTTAGTGATTGAAGTGTCAAAGCATGGGGTGGCTTACCCTCCATTCAAATGTACCAGCACTCACACTTGATGGTGAGATACTGGAGGTCACGGAGAGTTTTGCGTACCTGGGAAGTTGCATCACAGCCGGTGGAGCTGTTGGGGACGAGATTTCCACGCCTATCTCAAGAACTCGCCTCACTTCCTCTAAGCTTATGCACTTGTGGAGCTGCCATGACATCCATCTATCCATCAAAAGGCGGGTTTATTGTGCGACTGTACGCGCTGCACTGTTGTACGGTTGCGAGGCTTGGGTTGCTAGTAACGTTGAGCTGCACCGTCTCTCTGTGTTTGGATACCGTTACTTGCGGTCCATGGCCCATGTGCGGTGGCTGCATCAGGTGACCAATGTGGAAGTTACACAGCTGGTTTTGGATGGAGACAGCCCCTCCCTTGAGGAGGTCGTCCCGCTGCGTCAGGCGCAGTGGTTTTGGGCACGTGCTGCGCATGTCTGCACATCAACTTCCGTGCCAGGCATTGTTCGTGTTTGCTGGACAGGACTGGAGGAGACGGCGAGGTGGAAACCAACAACATGGAGAAGCCACATGAAAAAGCTGACGAAACAGTTGGCCTCGGTCGGTTGTTCTCGACTCCCTGATTGGGATTTCAGAGATACGATGTCGCTGGTTAGAGACTCTGGTTACAGACTCCGAGGCTGATCGCGGACGTGTATCTCTGCGTGTTGCTGTGATTTCCCTTCCCTTCCCCAGTAAAACAAACAATAAAAAACTCAAAAACGGTGAGTAAAAACAGTGCAAAAATGTTGCTTGTTCTAGTTTCTCCTGTTTTCTAATTCCAACAAGATATTGATGACATAATATCTGTATCACAGATTTTGATCATCAGACATATCATCCATGATAATTGCGGTCATCAAGATTCCAGTGTCATGAAGAATTCACTACAAGGCATCAGAAGTAGTCCGATGCGCCACAGTGAAGATTCGCAGAGGAAAACATTAATCGCGCAGGGGTTAAGGACGGTGTGAGGTTACTAAAGGAGTGATAATAATCCAAGTATGTTTATGATAACGTTCACAACTGCAGCTGTGCGTTTGCTGGGCTCATGTATCAACGTTTGTTTCAACGCGTCACTTTTGTCAGCTTTATTGATGTATATGGTTATCGTGTCCAAATACTGTTTACTGCATTATAAAGCAAGTAGAAAAGAATGCTGTACAACTCTTTCGAAATATGGTGAAAAACGTTATAAAAATTGTCAGCTGTGAATATCGTTCTCGTTCTCATGTAAGATCTGACTCATGATATTTCAGAACTCACAAATGTGACATGTCATCGCAAGTGTGCAACCGCTCTCTGAAGCGAATAGTGGTAAAATAGAAATCCAATAACCTTTTGAACTGCTGCACAGATGTGGCCTCAATCAAATGTTCAGGCAAACTGTTCCAAATATTTACCACTCTCCGTTCGAAGCACAGTGGGTGGGGAACTCGCTTCACATCCGACACGACAAGTTTGTATCTGTGTCCGCATATGCTGCATGGCCCTCGTAAGTGCAGCATTGGCCTCAACATGGGGAAGTCACGGAGATGTAGAAAACGGTAGGTCAGGATGAGGTCGACTCGCACCCGACGGTAGGACAAGGTGTAGAGTCCTAGTTTCTCGCACCTGTCTTCATACCCCAAACCAGAGTGGAGATCACAGTTCCATTCCGAGTTCAACGTCATCAAATTCCCCTATTGGTGTGTGTATTTGTGTGGTTTCTTATTGGCCTTATTGTCTGCATACTTTCAATGTCCTAGATTATTTTTGGATCTATGCGTCAGGCCATTTAACAGTGATATTTCCCCGTTCAAGGAAATATAAAACCCTGTTCCGGCTCATAAGTGTTCTCATCACCATTAGTGAGTGGAAGCAGTAGTCACGGGGCCGGACACAACAAAGGCTGCCCGCATCTACGCCGATTCGAGCGGGTGACCACTAGGCTACAAGATGGATGCCTCATCTCTTCGGTCACCAACAGAGGTCAGTAAGCCATTATTACTAGAGGTTAAAGATATGAGAAATCAGACACAGTGTCAAACTGAACGGCTCAAACATACATCTGGAACCAAGAATAGACAGATGAGTGAAATCCGTGATCAAATCGTTTTGCTGGAATTTGGCAAAAAGCGTAGTAAGCAGAGGTACAAAAGGACTTAGAGTTATTTGTCCAGTTCGTGTAAGAAGAATATGATACACAGCGATTTCACAATATGAGAATATCATCGAATAGGTGTACGCAACTGGATTCCTTTAGCTCAGCAAAAGTAAACAAGTGAAAGATAATGCACTACTGTCAGACACAGTCAAACAAGAACTGAGTGCCGCGAGAAGCGCAAGAGGATTCTTCTGTCCTCAGAGGACTCACAAGCGGTGTGTAAATAATCCGAGAAGTTTGAAGCAGTGGGATAATGATTGAAACCACCATTACACAGTCAAAACGGTATTATTATGGCGAAAAATACGAAAAGCTAATCAAATCGGAAAACTGTGAAGCACGGTCTGGTTAGATCAAAAACAGCGCAGCAAGAAGAATGACTCACACCATTGTACAAAAAACGAATGCAATAGATTTCGTGCAGCAGTAATTTCACATACACTAACAAGTCAATGTGGCATACGATGGTTCCGAAGTGAATGAAAGATGAGGAATTTTCCTTTGTAATGAATTATGCTAATAACAAGGAGGAGTTAAGCATCCGGTTTTACTCTGAAGGCTTGGAATCTGGGGGAGAAAATCACGATTATGATGCAAAAACCGCATTCAGAAGATGATGCTACTGCTCAGAATTTCGTCGTACAACTCTGACATTAGCTTTGTCATTCGCAATGAGTATCGATGGAATTGTATGCAGTTCCCTAATCATGCCTCCCATGTCGTGGCTGTTTTGTGAACATTGGGAAGCTGTCATTGTTATGAAACGCGGCACGACAAACAGGGAAATTTTGATGATGCTTAAATCTGAAGATTAGAAATAAAACAGGATATATATATGAAGCTTTGCCAGTCCATCTTAAGAGGGTGAACGAAGAAATGAAATCGAGTGTGGTGCAACTAAACAAATAAAACGAAAACGTTGCAAATTACTTGTGAAGTATCAGTAGCTGAAATTCACAGAGGCCCACGTACTTCAACAGCGGGTGGCAGGAAGGGCTGGTTCGGCATAGGAAGCATCGCACCAAGCATGATTCACTAGGCTTTGACCGACTAAGAAACTATTAGGCAGTTGTAGCTAAAGATATGTTTTCATGCATCAACAAACTAAAGCTTAATCGGTTTAGAATAGACGGTCCAGACGGCACGATGGCAAAGAATCTCTGGGTAGAGCGCGAACGAGTGCGAGTCGTCACTTGCGAGCACGATGTTCCGTGATTGTGCGAGAAGGACACAAGCGCAACAAAGTGGAGTGGCTTCCACTCTGGATGGTAGCGCATGACAGAAAATGAAGTGAAATTTCGTGAGTGCGTGGTTAGCTCACCTGCAGTGCACTGAGTCCATTGTGTAGGCGGGTGGTAAGAGAAGAATTTAGTTTCTCAAATAAAGGGACCAACTGACACCCAGGGCTACTCGAGTTCTTCGTGTTACTGGAAAGTAATAGGCACATAGAAAAAATAGAGGAGAGTCGGAAAAGTTAAGCGCACAGTACCTCAATAGGAATGATAGAAGATGGGAATAAAACTCCTACATGCGAAAAGCTTTAAATAAACAAACAATGTACATATTGCGACGACGAAGAATAAAGGAGCCGCTGAGAGGTCTGAGAGTTTAACACTGACGGTCTGTGCTCAATGTCTCGGAAACTACATCAATACCTTGATCACACTATGCAACAGCGTGCTACGGCGATGGAAAAAGGTACCTATAGTAGCAAAATGTTTACGTTTGCCTGCGGTTTAGGCAACGACATCATTATCATCATTATACATGTTAGCTAGAGGTGTAAGACACCTCAGCTACTGTGCCGTAATACATAAAGGAAAAGGAAAATAAATACAACGGTTGCATGCCAGCTGAGCTACCAGCAACGGATAGGCATCGTTCCAATGAGGTATCAGCCGGCTACTAGGCAAAACGAAAAATTATTATGTTTTACGCTGGGAAATGAGATCGTAGGTGGAGGGGGAGACTAAAAGGGATGGGGAGGGACAAAGAAACTCACAGCACGAACGCCACTGAGGTCGGCTCCTTGCCATGTCAGCAAGTGTATCCAGCCAAACGTGTTCACCGTCTTTTGGACCCCGACCGGGGAGCCGTGACGCTCCAACCGAGGCGAGCTCCGAAGTGAGGGCCTTCATTCCTCTCGACCAAGTCATCGCTTGGCCACCCCTCCTCTCCTTCCATCCACACCCACGGTGAGCAAACAACTCACGTCGCGGAAGTCGGTGGGTTGGCATGCGCAACACGTGGCCGAGCCATCGGAGCCTGATGCGTGAAATGACGGCGCTGAGCGGTTCATTTACTTTTCCTGTGCCATAAACAAGGCGTCGAACACGCTCGTTACTCACACGGTGTTCCCACCAGATGTGAGCCACACTGCGAAGGCACCGGTGGTAGAACGTAACTAGCCTCTTTATGTCCCCCGATCTTAGGGGCCAGGTTTCGCAAGCGTACAGTAAGGTCAAACTTACCGCTGCACTGTACACTCTACCCTTCAGGGCGAGAGTAATGTCGCGCCGCCGCCATAGGTGACGAAAGTTAGCGAAAACACTTCGAGCTTTTGCTATACGGTGTTATACGGCGCTGATACAACTTCCTAGGTAATTGAATTTCTGAACGACTTCTAGCTGATCCCCACCAAGAGTCAGCGCAGGAGGCGATCCCTGCCAATCTTGGAGGAACGCTTTACATTTCGATGGTGCGAAGCAAAACCCGAAGCTGCTGACAGTCAGTGCTAATCTGTCCAGCGCAACGACAAGCAAAGGAGCACAGTTTTTCATACGGCAACGTTGCTTGACATGGTCGACGTTGCAAAGTTTGGGTTGTGTCGATGTTTGTCTATGGAAGTGTAATAAATCAGTGAGGATACAGCATTTGGCCAAGGGGCGATGCCCAATCCAAGTTCATCTGCGGTTGCTACACTCGACGGGCAGTGGCCAAAAGGTTCACGCAGATGCGTTGTAATCCGGAGGTCAAGGCCTCGAGTCAGCCTAGATGAGGGTGACCTCACGGGATAACCAGTGTTTGTGGGATTGATGGTGATTGCGCGGCAGCGAAGCGTCAGTACAGTGGACAGGTGTAGTGATAATTATTGACTTAACGTTTCATCCCGCAAGCAATAGGTAAGATAGCGCATGGTAGTCGTGGATTCTGGACTCGGAGATGTAGTAAGCATCGACAGCAACGATATGCGATGGGGCTAAAAGTACAGCATGCCATCATACTAATGCTGTGGCGTGAAGGACGAGAAGTGGATGAGACCGGGCAGCGTGGTCTGGTAAGCGATGGAATACGGTAGAAGGATTTAAGGCACTTTGATGATAACGATGTAGGCAACAAAACCTATTAGCAGTGTAAAATTGAGATACAGATGGGGAAAACGTTCGCATAAATACTAACCCGATTCCATCTACCCACCTGGCCATATGTAGTGGATGAGATGAACTGTGTGAAATTAGACCGCGATGATCATGGTTATATGCTGACAGGGATACGGAAAAGCACCGAAAACTCTGGATCAGATGCGCGATCGCAAAGCAAAAACCTGGTGATAGGCCACAGGATGAGTCACGCTCAGAGAAGTGGATACCGAAACACATACATTAACGATCTGAGCAAATTGATCTCAACCGTTTTGTTGGTTGGTGTTGAAAATGTTTAAGTGAATTGCCTAGCTCTGTGAATAACTCAACAACGGAATAATCGACTCTAGTTAGGCATTTGAAATTACTCTGAAACCAAAACCTAACTGGCACAAACATGCAGTCACCAGTTAACTTGGAGCAATGACCCAAATTTCGAGAATGGGAATACTGCGTGGCTGCGAACTCATCAAATCGCTTACTAGTCAGCGGAACACAAAATTCGTCAGGCAGCATTGTTAGTCCGAGGTAACACGTTAACTGTCAAGGGCAGAGAAGGCGAGCAAACCGAACGCTAATTACAATCTAGTTTAAAGCGCTATGAAGGTCATCGGAGCTGCTCGTCAGTACAGTTAAAACCGCCAGAACAAAGTGTGGGCTAAGGGGGATCATCATCAACAGCAGTACAGCAAGCACTCGAACTGATGCTTCGCTGCCGTACAACCACAAGGAATTACGGAACAAAGAATAACAGAGAGAGGAGAGGGACCAGCGTTAAAATCTTGATCGCTTAAATAAACACTCGGGGTCAACGCGCTTACACCATGTCAACAACATGCCATCAAAAACAGCTGGCTATCGTTCAAAGAGAAGGCGGTATCGGCGAAACAGCTTCCTAGCAACTTTCACTGCCCAGCATCATAATTAACCGTTGCTCTGTAGTTAACTCAGCATCAAACACACTTTAAGACGAAAAGACGGCAGCAGACGTCCCACTGGTGTCGGCTACGAGCCGCGTCCTGTAACATCTCAAGCCAAGCACAAGGCGAGTCACGTGGACTCCAGCGTAGGTGAGACGAACCGACTGCACCCATTTTAGTCGTCAGTGACTTCATTCCCCATTGCCAAATTAATTTCTGCCCATCCCGAGCCTTGTGCTAGCCTACATCTGGCAAACAAAACACGGCCCTCCTTGGTAAACGGTGACCAGGCATACGTAGTACATGCCCAAGACAACGCAACTTATTCAGTGCTACCAGTTGTTCTAAGGAAATAGCCTAGTCATGACGACCTGGTACTCACCTACGCATATCACCGTTGCGGACAGGCTGGTACCATCCGACACTAGCAATGCTTCGCAGACAACGATGATCAAAGACGAAGGCACCTCGGATCTTCAAACCGAAGGGACCAAGTTTCACTACCATAGAGCAGGACGGCCCTCGTTGTGACCTTGTACACACGGTTTCCAGACGGAGAGAAACCCCTATTTGACGCCAAAAAGGTCGCAAATTCGAAAAGGTTGTTCTAGCTTTTGAAATGCGCGAACTGACACCAGTTGCTATACGCTATCTGTCAAGGTAGGTAAAGTGATTAACTACAAGTTTCTCACCATCAAGCGTCACCAAGGGGTCTGGTGATCCTGTATCAGCACATTGCACTTTGAAGGTGTGAGGCGCATGCTAAATGTTGGGACAACTCTAAAGTTATTCAGGATTGACTAAGCCGCTCCAACATCGTTAAAATGCAGGACAATATCGCCCACATAACAAAGATTAGCTAGCTTTTCACCAGGCAGCACCTCGAAGCTTGCATCGAGAGGTTCTGCAAGGGGACACTCCATGATAGAGTCCACGAAGAAAGTGAACAAAAACGGGGAAATCGGAGAACCCAGACGAACGCCACTTGTGTTCGGAAAACTATCTGACAGGTCATCGTAGACCTCGACGCGGCCGGTAGTGTTCGAGTATAGCGCACGTAGGATATTCACATATTTCGTGGGAACACCTTCCCGCCAAAGTATTTCAAACAGAATGCATCGATCGACAGAATCGAACGAACTCGTGAAATCAAGGAACACAACTATTGTCGGTCTGCAGTATGCACGGCGCTGCTCTAGCACCTGCTGCAAAGTGAATACATGGTTGACACAGCCACGTCCAGGGCGGAAACCTGCTTGCTCTTCCCTAATCCGAGATTCCCGTTCCACAGTGACGCGACGGACGAGAATCGAGGCCAGTACTTTTGTCCCAACTGGCATTAGGCTAATACCCCTGGTGATTAGCATAGTCGGTGCGATTGTCCTTATTCTACATAGCGCCACTGTAATTGATTCAGTCCAGTTAGCTAGAATGCTCTCCGCCTTCCAGGCTTGTTCGAACATGGAGGTGAGTGCTTGCAGAGGACCACATCACCATCCATAAATAGTGTGAATGCGAGGGAATCCAAGCCAGCAGCGCGAAAAAGATTAAGGGCTGCGATCGAGTTACGGATCTCGACCTTTGACGGAGTCTCCAGACTAACTGGTCATAACTCAGCCTGCAACACCTGCGCAGGAAGTGGTACAGAAGTAGGGGGACAACGGAACTGCTCTCGAAAGTGCTCCGCCCAATGAGCCATATAGTGCTACTTATTGTGAACCAGGGAACTCGCGTTGTCTCTGATTGTTTCACTGACACCTAGTTTCCTAGGACCAGTTGTGTGGATCATCTGGAAGAGCTTGCGGTAATTGCCTACTGCTCCTGCTTCCTCCATCTCTTGAGCCGCACTGGTCCACCAGGCTTCCTTGTCACCACACAGGCTCCGCTTTGGATTGTGCGTAATTATCTGGCCACACTGTACTCAGAGCCAGCCGGGAGGTTTCCTCTGGATTCCACCAGGTTCACCGACCACACGGATATCCAGTGACTGATGCGGTGACAACTGACAGTGCCACAAGCGGAAGCTCCTGCACGTTGCATGGCGGCGGAGATCTAATTCCACTGAAGCTCAGTGTCATTAGGACAAGAGAGCGAAAGTTCGGTACACTGCGCATCCTGGTAGGATTGCCTGACCGAGGGCTGAGGTAAGTTCTCAGTCGCCAATAGAGGGGGCGCATGGTACGCATCCTGGTAAAAGTCATGGCAAAATGACACCGTACCAAGGCATGATCAGAGTCGACTTATGGGGATGAGAGTAATTTGTTCGAAGCACAGAATCGTTCTCACAACTAGAGTTAACAAGTGCGTCAAAGTACGGCGCGCCAAAATCGAAGCAACAGTTTTATTATCAATGCTACGAATGTATGCACAAGGATCTCGAGAAAGCGAACATTTGAAATCCAGATACGATTTCACAATCCGTCATGCGTTGACGTGGGCGCTGGGACATAACCTATACAGCACATGTGGCAACCTTGCAGAAGGGCACAGAAAGCAAGTATTGATATATCTTTGCTGCCGTCGGAGCATATCTACATATATAGCTTACAATGACATGCCTTACATCACGCTCAGGCCGCATTACAAATATTTACAAGCGTTTGTTCGTTGTTTTGTAGTGTTTAGTAGAGAATCGGTGAAATTTACTTGGATCACAACACCACGGCTCAAGCAGCGATATGGGCGCCTATGAATAGATGGACATGTGGTTCACCGAGGAGAGTTAGTTCAGCGTGAAACATTTGAAATGCGTGTTAAAGCGCTAATGCTTGCGTTATAGGGAAGATAACGTATACGTGTGCGCATAAAAAGTCAGTGCTTCGCACGCACAAAAGAAATCAAATATTGAGACGCGACATCGCATTATTAGCGACAAGATTTACAGGGGGAGAAGAAAGTTTGCAGTCGAATTGACCAGAGAATCTCATCAATCGGGACTGGGTGCGAGAGCAATAACAAAGACAGGGCCAACAAGAATAGGCGACCAAACGATAAAACAACTCACGTAAAAAGTAAAGACAACGAATATACTTAAGACCTACCCCGAGTACACTGACTGAGAATCGGACATGATTGCCCCAGCCACAACCGGGCTGATCAATTGCTGACGCAATTCAGTGATGGAATCGACAGCACTCTGACAGATTTTCGATAGGTGATGCTCCGTTCGTGATCTGGCCACATCATCAACCAAGCTTTGAGCGGATTGGAGCAGCTGAGTGCAGGTCTCCTTTGAACTTTGTCCAAATAGGCCCACTGTGAATTGTTCAGTGGGAAGGCCATCATACGGCCCCATACGGTACAGTGCCTCTGTGTAGGATCTGGTGAACTGCTGCACGCGACCGTAGATTCGATCAAGTGCACGCACGATAACACCAGTGTCACAGCAGCAACGCTTCTGGAAACAAAAAGACAACCAAAGCGAAGTGTAGAGGAGATCATGTGGATAGAATAAACACCACTGAGTGTTCCGTCAAAACAAGTACGTTTTTGTCGACTTGGGGAAAGTAAAAAGTCTTTTAGGAATTTCAGATGTAAAATAAATCACAGCGAAGGTCGCGGAAGAATGTTCAGTCACAGCCGGCAGACAGGAAAATGTGTACGGGACTGAAGAGCTCCAGAGACAGGTGTTGCCGCAGTGCAAGCTCGCATGAGTCACCGACCTTCATATCAAAACACATCCGATAGAATCACCAGTGGTTTAAAGTGTGCACCGTTTTCTTAAGCGATCCATAAACCAGCTAACAGAATGACTAAAATTTGATAGCCACTCCTTTCCCAGACCTACGTACGGTAGCAACACGATGGGATCTCCACCGGGGTTCAGCGATTACCTAATGATAGTTGACGTTATGTGATTTTATATCGTCGGTAACGGACACCCCATGCACTATCTCCACGGCACGGTAACATAGTTAACGCTTTCTCTGAGTGATGCTCAGGTCGTCAAGTCTGACACCGTGTTCACCTGTGAACCCCTGACTCTGTGATTGGGCCGTCGATGATTGGCCAGTGCCCTTGCTAAGAATTCCACATGTCTGTCGTGTGGGCACTTTTCTTCTGACTGTCTGGCGTGAACAGCACGTTCTCTTGTTATGTACTTGTACTTTGTTGTTGACGGTGACACACCGGGAGCTTGAACAATTGGGTTATGTGAGATTTTCTTAACTGTGTATATTCCATTAGTTCCGTAGTTCAGCTAGTTCATCATCGCCACTCGCAATCAGCAGGCTTAGGCTAGTCTGGAAAAGTACCAGACGCCGGCGTTTCGACCTTCTGAGTCTCGTCAGCAGTGCATCTTCCAGCGGACCCCTGCCGGGTTCCGCCCTCATGATTTCAGGATGCCAACAGCTAGTGCCACTTCGCCATGGGTGACAGCCGCGGACCTGCCTGACTGACAGTTGACTATGATTTGACTATGGTACATAGGCGCTATGCGGAAAGTCCTAGCTCGTGAGGCTAGCCATTGTCCTCTGCACAGTTCGTAACTGGCATGGCAGTGGAATATGAGCATATGCACATGTCAATGTGTTGCAGATTGGCTCACTCACCCGTCACTTCCCAATGGGATGAAGTATCTGTCCTTCGAATGTCCAATGGGCGATAGTAGATTATATTTGGATGTTTGTGAGTAGGGTAAAGATTGTAGAAAGTAGAAGTCACGACTAAAATTCACGCACAATAATGTGCCTCGACGGGGAATCGAACCCCGGTCCACGAATTTCCGGTCCGCTGCTCTACCACTGAGCTACCAAGGGCTGACGATTAGGCGTGCAAATTTTAACACATGACTTCTGCTTGGTGCGCGACGTATTGCCAATGGGCTCACAGTACCCGTCCTGGTGTTGCAGATTGGCTCACTCACCCGTCACTTCCCAATGGGATGAAGTATCTGTCCTTCGAATGTCCAATGGGCGATAGTAGATTAAATTTGTGCGTGAATTTTAATCGTGACTTCTACTTTCTACAATCTTTACCCTACTCACAAACATTCAAGTTCCGTAGTTGTTGCAATCCAATTTCGTTCTATTTTTGGGATGATTGCCTGCGCGTAATTCAACGTTCGACCGATGAGCGTTACAAGTATAGATCAGTTGATTGATTTACAAAACGCAGTTGATGCTTTGAAGATGACAAATCCGGTTACTAGAAATAGTTCCTGCATCGAAAGCCAGAACACTTTTACTGAATTTATGAAATCCTCGGTAGTTCGGCCGGATTCAAATAAACAACTATGACACGAGCATCGAAGCGTGACAAATGCAGTGGCAACGAGCTGCGTCGCCAGGATGACAACAATCAAAAATGATGAAGAAGACGAAGTGTAAAAGTGTCACTAGGTCTGCAAGTGCAACATGAGGACTCCGGCACAAGCTTGTAGTATACCGGGTTGGAAGCGGGTCACTCACCAGCTCTGCTTCGACCAGAGAGTAGTGAATATATAGAACAACCTGCTGTCGTACGTTGTCAAGTAGGTGTCCGATTTCAAGAAATTCCTAGACAAGCATTTGGCTGACATGAAATATCGGGAATGCTCTTCAGCATGATTGACCATTGGACCTGAGGAATTTTATGAAGCTGAACAGAGATTTATCTTCTTGCTGCTTCCATCCAGTATGCAGATATGATTGTCAACCACTGATGAAGCTCGTCTCGATGCCAGCACACACACAAAAGCGACAGGAATAAGAGGTGAGAGCTGAAGGTTAGGATATGCACCGAGAAGAGTAAGATCAACATGGTTCTCTGATCAGACTTACTAACTCTTATAGTGGTTCGAAACCGAACACATGCAGACATGTACCGGTGTGCAGCTAAGTAAAGGTCTGCTAAAAGCGCTAGCGGTGTCAAAAATGCTATGAATCGTCGATTCGATGATGCGAGAGGCAAGAAGAAGATAGTTTATTGAATTTATCCTCTGGTGTGTTTCCGAGGCAGTAACACATCGATTCGACGAGAGTGAAAATTAGAGATAGTGATGACTGTTGATCGATCTCACATAAAATGAAAATACTGAAGGAACAAATGAGAAATGAAACCTGTCCAAAAGAAAGGCTGGATGTAATGCTATCGCAAAAACAGCAGTGGACTCTTCCTCGACAACGGAGGAACGAAAAAGCTGAAAAGAGGGAGAAGGTAAGAAGAGTAAAGATTACAAATCCCGACTGTCCATTCAGAGAGGGTTTTGTTCGCCATTGCAACATCTAGTTTGGACATATCAGGGTTAACACACAGGCAGTGAGGCAAATGAGGGTTTGTTTGAAGCACTCCATACGGAGTCTTTAATGTAACAATATGTCTCGTAGGGAAGTAAGCGTGGCGCCGCTGATCACAGAAGGGGATTTCCATCTTCATGAGATCAAAGTGGGACTCAGTTTCCTCCAGTTGAGATCTTCAAATTTCTTCGAACGTTTAATCACGGTTAATTGTTGAACACCAGTGTGTGCTTGACACCAGCCTGTGTTGCAACGATGGACTGTGTACGTGACGCGTAGTAGGTGGTGAGGTGGAGTGAATAATCTGGATGAGCCGCGCTATATCGCAGCCAGATATAAGTCATGGCGGTCCGCTGTTGTCACCCATGGCTCAGTGACATAAGTCGCTGGCTCGTAAGAATAAGGTCATGGGTTCGAATCCCGCAGGATTTGACGGGTGCGGGCTAATGATGAGTCCAAATAGGACGAAACTGCAGTCTAGCACATTCCTGGATGTGTGGTGGGTGTCTGCCGGAGTCTAGCTGCGACGAATCTTCACAAAAACTGGATCAAATTGGGTACCCCCTAAGGCAGTGGTGCTCAATCTATAGCCCGCGGACTTTCGGCCAACCCCGTATTATTACGTGAAAATATTGTAAACTTTGTTTGGTTTTCCTTCATTAAACTCTTATAGGATTAATACCTAGATTACCAACAATCAGAGATTGACGCCATGGGTGCAGTGTATATGTTGTGGTTACATTCCAGCTCTTTGAGCGTGTGAAACAAATGTAACGAACAGCATGAGTTACCAAAAGAAACGAAGAGTGGATTCTGAATGTAGAACATTTCAAGAAAGATGGGCAAATGCTTATGTTGTTCAGTGTGACGACAAAACGGTTTGTTTTATATGTGAGGAAACATTCGCCGTTTTGAAGGAATATAACTTGGAAACAGTACGAGTTTCTCCAAGAAATTGAAGCTAAGTATGATGACACGCTGTACCGCAATGAAGTCCGATGGCTGAGTCGAGGGAAACTGTTTCAAAGGTTCTTCATGTTGAGACATAACATTGATGTTTATGACAGAGAAATCAAAAATTCTCCCGCAGATTTCAAATTTTGAATGAATATGGGATCCAGCGATCTTATGTGTTCTGACTGATCTGCAGAACGATCTTGATACCAGACTAAAGGTCAGGCCAAATTGGTTTCTCAAATCTGCAGCGATGTAAAATCGTTCGAAATGAAATTACAGCTCTTCGTTCAAGATGCACAAAAAAGCACATCGGCGCACTATCCTATTTGATCAGAAGTGCAATCAGATGCACATACAGCCGACGTGACCCTTCCAACACGCCGCTTGGTTGAGATGCTGAATCGCTTGAAGGACAATTTCGGCGAACCATTTCAAGACCTCCAAAAGATTAATGAAAAAATAAGATTGTTTGAAAAGCGGTTTGGTGCTGTGCTACCAACTTACAATTATAACTGACTGATCCACAGCGCTCAACAAATTTGAAGAATCTGTAACGAAATAAGTATCGGCTCGATTTGTATGCACTGCTCTCTAGATGTGTATTCGTCACTAAAGTGGCAATGATACTTGCGAACACATACATCAATGAACAAATATTTTCCATTAATAAAGCGAACCAAGTCGCATTGCCGTTCACGGCGACTATACGAACTCTTACGAATGGGTGTTAGTCACCTTGAACTGAACATGAAAAGGATTGTGTCTGACAGGCAGGCGCAATTCCCATTTTGTAGATTAACAATCTGGCGTAGGAAAGAAGATATGTGATTAACATCATTAACCTAGTTGTGACCTAAGGGACATGTTATTGACGGGGATGCATCCGACCTACGGGCATGCTCTCTATGATCGTTCTGGCCTGCGGACTCGAAACGGTTGAGCACCACCGCTTTAAGGCATCTGATCTGTTTGAATTGCTTGTATGGATGAAATGACAGTAGCGCGACACCTTTAATGCTGTTTAAACCGGTGCTGGCTGGCTGGACATTCGATGACAGCCGTACCATCGAAGGTTGTCCGGTGCAGGAGATATCAGCATTCGACACAACAAGGCAGTGTCGACAGCACTAAAAAGATAGTACGGAAGATGTCGGGCTAACGGACACCAGTGTGATCAAACAATGGCAATGAAGCGGGAACGGGCTTAAAAGCGTGAGAGCCGAAATCACATGCACTGCAATGCCATTGGTTTGCTGATGTGCATCAGAAGTGCACCAATGCATTGTACTGGTGCTTTGCTGCCATGCACTACAAGGGAACCCACAACGGTGCAAAGCCCGTGCAAGAGTGGGGGATGGGGACCAGTGGTGTACAGCCTGTAAGCCAAACGTACAAACCCTGCACTACGAATCAATAACTGCACAACACACGTCGACAGACGTAAAGAGACTAATCCCGTTCGACCATCAGTGTCTTCGCAGTTTAGCTCATGTCTGGCGGGAGCACTGTGTGAGCAATGAGCGTGTTTGGCGTCGTGTATTTAGTGCAGGAAGAGCGAGTGAACCGCTCCACACCATGATATCACGCATCAGGTTCCGATGACTAAGGCACGTATTGCGCATGTCAGCACACCGACTCGCGCGGCGTGCATTGTTTGCGCGTGGAGTATGTGGAGGAAAGAGGGGAGGAAAAGCGATGAGTTGGTCAAGGGAAACGAAGTCCCTCAGTTCGAAGTTTGTGTCGGTTGGTGTGTCCCGACTGCTCAGCTAGGGTCCAAAGGATGATGAACACGTTTTGTTGGACACACTAGTTGACATGGCAAGGAGCCGACTTCAATGGCGTTTGTGTTGTGGGACACTTTGTACTTCTCCATCCCGCTTATCTTCTCTCTCAAACCCAATGCATAATATGATAGTAAGTAGTATGTTAATTGTCTTAGTTTTTGTAGTACGTACTGTTTGATCGCTTGTCCTTTTAGTATTGCGGCACAGTTAACTGAGGTGTGTTTCTCACCTTCATTTAATGTGTATTGATGATGAGATGACCTGAACGGATGTGCGTTGTAGACAGATATCTGGATTCAAATAATTCGGGAAATATCCCTTTTGTGAAGAAAGCGCATGAGGATTTCTCTGCCGGGATCATTCCACATACAAAATGCAGTACAGAGAGCAAGCCGCGAAACCCTACAATGAACTGGAAATCTATGTTGTAACACCAATGAGGAGCGGTGAAGATGTGGGCGTACACTGCCCTTGGTTTACAACATGAAATGTTGTTCTGAGTGTCAAGGAAGACCACCTCCATAGGAGTAGTCCAAGTTCACTGATTGGCTATGCAGACTCAGAGACGGATTTGCGCGATACCCAGTATCGGCTAGCAAGCTGTTTACTATTACCCACTAAAGATGCCATCAGACTGGTGGTGAAACGTCTGTAACCAAACTACCCAGAATGGGAAAATCAATCAACAAGTCAAGTTGAAGTTGGTTGGCCGAGAGCCAACCAATGAGTGCGGCTACCAAAATCAAAAAATCAGAATGCATGGCCATCAGGTAAACCGATGAGAGAAAATGACAAGCACAATTAGTTCCAACCAATAAGGAGAGGTTCAGTAAGCATGTAACCCCCTGGTCTCCTACCAGAGTAAACAGATGCGTAGAAGGAACAAGTCAGATGACCGGGGGAGATAAACCCGATAGCCCAGATCATTGTATAGGACAGACATTTTCGCCCATCCACATGAATCCGTTGGTTGGTTGATGTCCGTGTGCGTTACAGGGAGTCCCTTGTAGTTTGTCTAACGGTGTCACGCTCAAACATATCGTTGTTTATGGAGGTGTATGAATATCTCCATACATTCCGCAGGTCAACGCGTTGTACTTTCCGTTGAGTTGCCTAAATTTGCATAACCTGTTTGTCCCTAAAGGATCGACTTTTGCCAGATTATTCAAAGTAAGGAAGTTTACACTGTGACTTATTTGATCATAGGAGAAAAATCAAATCGGCTGACAACGTCTACATTTCTAAAACAATTCCGGAAGGCTGATGGATGAAAATGACCATAAAGTTGGAGTATGCCAAACCAGTAATCAGGCGGACAAAGAGTGCGCGCTTATGTCCCACGCAAAGATGACTCACTTGAATATAGATCAATCGATCAAGGTCAACAGTTAGAATGAGTTGATTTAAATAGTCAAGTACGATTGAATTCAGGAAGTATAAAGGACCCTATTGCCGAGACTCGTGTGCTGAGAGGAATAAGGGGTTGATAGGGAATGGGCAGAGAAACGCGAGAAAAAGTGGGATCACAGTGAGCTGGTCGACTGAACTGTGACATAACGGTTATGGAAATGTGGACAGTAGAGAGCAATGACACGGGGAATATAATAAAAACTACGTCCATTGATTATGATTCGGTGACTGCATATGGAAATGCTATCGTGAACCAGTGTAGAAAGAGTGCATAAGATGCGATATGAAAAGGCATTAAAAGTTGTTCAAGCAATTATAATCAAGTTAAGTTGGCCGACGTACTTCAAGGTCGAAACGTCGGGTCGTTAAGAGGAAAAAGTTATCGCACACCTTGCGAACCAGGTCGATTAGGCAGGTTTCCAGTTCAACGAGCTCCAAATCCACACCTTCCATTTGTGCTTGATCGGAAACGATGTTGCTAACAAAAGGGGGAGATAGGCACAAAAGTAAGGGACTGGAAATTAACAGTGGGATGGTCCCAAAATAGGCCCATCATATGCTGAATCCCCAAACCTTGGACGGCTTATGGGTCGCCGGCCACAGTAGTCGGAAAGCGATTACTTGCTACAAACGCATCTGTTCGTAGAATTAAACAGCAAAGCTAGATGAAAGGAATAAATCTTGTGAGATTAAATATAAAGGACATTCATAGTGAAACTCGGAGATTGCAGGTACGTTTGATCGCAGAAGGCCCAAGCGCAGATGTTAACGAGCTAGCCTGGGGCATTCAATAAGTGAAGACTTTAACAGAAGTTCCACCCCAGAAAGATCAGAGAGGATAGAATAACCTAAAGGAAGTTCGAGCACAAAGTTGGGGGAACAGAAAAAATAGAGTAACCTACTTATATTCTACTTATCGCAGTGAACATATGGAGGGTCCATGTAGACTGGAACAAACAAACTCAATGCCAACCACTACACAAATGCAGTTGTATACGCCTTCAAGATCTGACTTAAGCGATCCCCGTTGGTTGAGAATAAGGATGAGTGGGAATGAGAATGCTCGACCTGAGAACATAAAGGCAATTGGAAGGAAGGGGTCGTACAACGGTGAAGAGACTCATTCATACGGGCAGGTGACTTGTGTCACGTCATCCTCAAAATTGAGGATCCTTCATGGTGGAACCCAGCTGGTGTGCCCAACACTTTTCAGAACTGTGATGTCAGTCTCACTAAATCTGGCTGCAACTAATCGTATCACAATACCCCGAAATCCCTCTATACTGCTCCGTAAGCCGCTTAGCCGAAGAATCCGGTAAATAGCAATAATGAGTAACGAAAACAAAGGTATGTATTTAGTCTTGACATGAAAAATGCTATCAGAAGTGCAAATACGATAGAAGAGAAAGACAATTAAGGTGCCGGACGTACAGGATTGTGTCCTCAGGATTGTAATCCCCTTCTAGAAAGCTAGCAGCGAACACACTAGTGTAAGCTGTCACGTATGCCATCAATTCGCTCAAAAGCGATTCCGTTATCTGGTTTGCGAAATGTAAAACATCCTGGATGAAAAGAAATACAGGGGAGAGAGTAAGCTGCATAAAAATACACAGTAGCACCGAGATACTAATCATACTAGTTTAAAAACTCATCCGAAAGCGAATAAGGGTCAGTTGGTTTAGGAAGGGTCTGCAAGAGGGCTGAATAAAACAGGCAGGTGCTTGATAGTGGATGATGGACAGAAATCAAGAACCGACTAAGTACGTAGGAACTGACATTTGATTAAATGAGTCTGCTGGATGCGTCACGCAAACGGATCAGACGCCAGAAACAGCGGCTGATTGAGTACAAGATGCATTGAGTCCATGGATAAAAAACAACGGAATGCATGTTAGAGCATCGCTGCCTTGCCAGTTTAGCTCATGTCTGGTTGGAACAGCACGTGGGCAATACATGTGTGTAGTGTCGAGTATTTGGTGCAGGAAGTGTGAGTGGGCCGCTCAACAACGTTATTTCACGCACCAGGCTCCGATGGCTGCGCCACGTCTTGCGCAAGCCAGCACAAAGACTCCAGTGATGTGCGATGTTTGCGCGCCGGGGTTATGGATAGAAGTAAAGGAGGGGACGCGAGGCAATGACTTGGTCAAAGGGATTGACGACCCTCTCATCGAATGACTTGATCGGAAAGCAACCTGGACAGTGTCTCGCACAAACGATTTTTTAGATTATACCTTGCCGTAAGTTGGTGTTTCAAGACGGCCGGACTAGGGCATCAAGGAGGACGAACACGTTTGATTGGATACACTTGTTGACATGGCGAAGAGTCGATTTCAATGGCGTTTGTGTTGTTTCTTTGTCGCTTCCCTCCTGCCTAGCTTCACTCTCAAACCGCAATCTTACACTTAAGTATAATATGACACTAAACATTAAATTACTGGTTTCTGGATTTTATTCGGCTTTCTGTAACGTTTGTATCGCGCTTTTTCAAATACATCACTTTTTGGGTTGTGGCGCAAAAGATGAGGTGCATTTTTACCCTTAGCGAAAGTGTAATAATGATGATGATGATATCAAAAGCAACGTGCCGACATGACACAACTACAAAACACCTGCTAGAGTTCAAGAAGAAGCCTGAGAAATAACGGTTGCACTAATTTGAAAACGAAGCATTTCTCGTGCCGCTTATGTGCTCAGTAAAGGCACCGATGCTGAAACACTGCAAGTTACCTTGTTTACACGAACTCACCTGTCGCTGTGGAGACTGCTAGATTAGGTGGCTGACATGACGAACACATTCCCAAAACAGTTACTTAAACGAATGGAGGCTTTGACGGTTGAACCAAGTGAATCTAAAAGCATGACTGTCTTAGCAACCAAGGGGAAGTAGCTGAACATCTGTCACTAGGTCAACATTAGCGGTGCTTATGCACGTGTCGGAAGACCTCACATTCGCAAGTTCCTTAATGTCATCGTTATCGATCGAGCACTGTCGGCGCTCTGTGTGCAAAATAGCTGATAGGGAGATTGAGCTTATCGTAATGAGGCACAAAATGACGGCGTCATCTCGGAAAATGCCTCTCCTGAGCTTCCTGGCTTGGAAGACCGAGTACTCCGCATCGAAACTGACTAACAAGACTGGATGGTAATTAATATTAAATTTACTCACCAGGTAACGAGCACTGTACCCCATACCTTCAGGTTTGAACTCAGTCTTCCTTCTCTACCCGTGTAAACGCACCGGTACGAAGTCCAACCGTTGTGAGAAGCCTAGTTTCACTTGGCATAAATTATTTAGCTTTGTTGTGTCTAACGAGCACTGATGTCCCAGCAGGTGAACGTCTGAGTGCTGAAGACCAGTGGAAAGAACAAAGAACGAAATTACGAAGGGATGTTGGCAGTTTAACTTCTGTAAGTCAAAAGTTAGCCAAACCACGTGAGGCTGGTAATACACTTCGCCCTGCAAGGTCAATCTCGTCTGACCAGAGGCGTTATAACCTTGTGGTCTTCCACGCGCCGGAGTCCAGTGATCCATCACCCAGTCGCACGATCAGAGTCTAATTGAAAGACTCCTCGACGCTGGTGAGGACTCGGTAAATGTGAGGCAAATTACCCGTCTTGGAAAGCAAGGTGATCAACAAAATCGGCCTATGAGGATCACTTTTGTGGACGAAGCCAGTCCAATACTGGTCTTGTCCCGCCTGTAGGTTGAAAGGGTCGAAGATCCATGTTCGTCCAGACCCGGATCCAGTAGACAGGGAGAGGCTCAAGTTTGCCATAATTGGGCTGAAAAGACGTACTGGTGAGGGGGAAACAAATCTTCGTATCGTAAATTTTCGAGTGGTTGCCAAGAATCTGCGAATCAGGATAGACAGGCTGCTCACACTTCAAGCACACCCGGCAGCTCCTGCTGCGGCCTGCGAGTAGCCTTCAGTAACGTTTGCAGTGTTATGAACAAGCGCCATGAGCTTTGTTGTTTCGTTGCGTCTGAGCAGCCAGACGTAGTGGGACTCGCAGAGACATGGTTGCATTCAGAGTTATACACCCAGGAACTTGAACTCAGCGGTTACTCGTGCTACGGATGCGATAGACTAACGAATGCCCGCGGTGGTGTCTTGCTCTCTCTTTCTCTCTCTCTCTCTCTCTATATGTATGTATGTATGTGCGGGAGAGCCTATGGTGCGCTGAGGCTGGTGGTGGCTAGATCCTGACAGATGGTCTACCCAATGCTGCTACTGCTGCGCCATAGTCTCATGTCCTGGGCGCCTCCACGTGGTGACCGCTGGGTGGGAGTTAGGTTTCGCCCTTCTCCCTGCTAAGATCCAGGACACCAATCCGCATGAGTCAGCTAACTGACCATGTGCTAGACCCGCTGCCTTTCGGGTGTTCATTTAATCGAAGGCTTTGGCTGAGGACCCGAGTCGTTCTCCTGTCAGGATTGGGCGCCCTGGCAGTATCCTAGTCCATCCTCTCCGGAGGTTAGGAAGTGGTCGATGGCCCACTTCCCGTAAAACCTAGCCATGGGACACAACAGGTTACGGGTGATATTCTCAATGCTCGATTGGCGTAGAGCACGAGTGCCACGCATTGTCTCTGACGGTGGGAGGACACCTCCGGGTGTCCAATGGTTTGCTACTGCCCGCCTCAAGCCAGTCAGCCCCTGGTCAAATTGGTGCAAACCCGCCAAAAACCCACCTGCGTCTGGCCGTGGTCGCAGGTGCGTATCCAATTACGGTCGCAAAACATATGATAACTGTTCCAGAACCTCAAAGGCTGCGTGTGACGGCCGTCAAGCAGATCCCAATCTGTCTCTGCAATCACATTCCCGAGCTGGATCTGCTCTCCACTGCCTTGTGGGTCAGGCTATTGAGCCAAAGGCTCCGAGCGGAGTCTCTCAAGCAAACCTCCAAACCACCCACTGCCTTGTGGGTCAGGCTATTGAGCCAAAAGCTCCGGGTGGAGTCCCTCAAGCAAACCTCCGAACCACCCACTGCCTTGTGGGTCAGGCTATTGAGCCAAAGGCTCCGGGTGGAGTCCCTCAAGCAAACCTCCGAAGCACAACGACCACCTCGTGTGCGATTGCCCACCAATGCAATCGTATGCCTGCGCGCAAAGCACTCAGCATCGGGTGCTGGAACGTGCGCACACTACTGGACCGGAACTCCAGCGAGCGCCCGGAGCGACGCACTGCACTGGTCGCAATGGAGCTGGCGCGCTACCACATCGATATTGCGGCGCTCAGTGAAACTCGGCTCGCTGAGCAAGGTAAGTTACATGAAGCAGGTGCTGGCTACACATTCTACTGGGTGGGGAACGCCGCCTCAGCACCACGTGAACATGGGGTCGGATTTGCAATATCCGACCGCCTGAATGGCCAGCTGGTGGGTGAACCAACGGGCATCAGCGCGCGACTGATGACTGTTCGCCTACGACTCGGAAGAGGTAAGTTTGCTACTTTCATAAGCACGTACGGTCCGACCATGTGTTATCCTGATGACACGCGTGATCAGTTCTACACTGAGCTATCCTCCGTGATACGGTCTGTGCCGAGGAGCGACCGACTATTTCTGCTGGGTGATTTCAACGCGCGCGTTGGGCATGATGCATCGGTGTGGACAGATGTTATCGGTTCGCATGGCATTGGTTCAGCGAATGCGAACGGTGACAGGCTGCTCTCACTGTGTGCCACTCACGGCCTGACGATCACGAACACTCGGTTTGCACTGAGTGCGAGTGATATAGCAACTTGGACGCATCCCACGGAGTGGTCACGCTCACCTGCTCGACTATGTCATCGTACGTCAGCGTGATATGCGTGAAGTGCGCATGACACGTGTACTGCGTGGAGCTGAGTGTGGCACTGATCACAAATTGGTTCGGACCAAACTGTACATATATTTTCGTAAATCGATGTATTGCACTCCCGCCGTGAATCGGCGTAAATTTAACATTCTCTCCCTCGGTACTGTGGCGAAACGTACTGAGCTGGAGAAGGCGATGGCTGCACGCCTGTGTGGTGATGTGGACTGTATAGCCACAGTGGGCGACCTGTGGCACCACATTCGCGACCAGGTGACAGCTGCTGCGGAGGAAACCATCGGGCGCGCAAACTGTAAACGGCCTGATTGGTTTGATGACAACAATGTGACGATTGACGCTTTGGTTTCAGAGAAGAATGCAGCATTTGCTGCACATGTTGCAGACCCCAGTGACTTGGGGAAGAAGAGTCAGTTTCGCAAACTTCGACGGCGACTGACCCGAGTGCTCCGTCGCATTAAAATGCATGGTGGACGGAGAAGGCGAAGCAGATGGAATGCTACGCCGAACGCCGTCAACACAAGGAATTCTTTGACTCCTTGAAGGCGGTGTATGGACCGAGATTGGAGCCGCTGAGGACACTGATCGATGGTAGTTCAGGCGCTACCTGCACCCAGACTGCAGACATAATGCAGATCTGGCCGAAACACTTGGACTGTCTCTTGAACAACCGTTCAGAGATCGACTGGCCTACATTGAATGGCCTGAAGCAGCACGATGTGAAGGCGGATCTGGCGGATACGCCGAG